AAAGCTCCAACAAGACTCCTAGAACTAATATCCAAATTCGATAGCATAGCAGGATACAAAGCCAACACTCAAAAGTCAGTAGCATTTCTGTACATGGTTACAAACTCACCAAGAGGGAAATTAGGGAAACAGCATCAAGAAAAATGAAATTCTTAGGAATTAACTTAACCAAGGAAGTGAAAGACCTCTACAATGAAAACTGATGTACACTGAAAAAGGAGATTGAAAAAGAAATCAGAAAATAAAAAGATATTTCCTGCTCCTAGATAGGCACAACCAATATAGTCAAAATGTTCATACAATGGTACCTCAGTTCATGAATTTAATTCATTCCACAATTCTGGTTGCAAACTGAATTGGTTATGAACCAAATCAAAGTTCCCCATAGAGTTCAATGTAACCTGATAGGTAGTTCACGAACAGATGGTGCTGGGGAAACTGGCTATTCACATGCCAAAGGTTGAACCTAGACTCATATCTCTCACCATGCACTAAACTAAAATCAAAATGAATCAGTGATCTAAACATTAGAAGAGAAAGCCAGCACCATTTGTTAAAGAGGCTATCTTTCCCCCAGTGAAGGATTTGGCCCCTTTGTCAAAGATAATATAGATGAGTGTGCCTGGAGTTGTTTCTGCATCTTCTATTTTGTTCCACCAACACTCCCACAAACAATGGAGAAAGGGCGCCTTTTCCCCACAGCCCCACCAGCATTTGTTATTGGTTTATTTCTTCATAATAGCTAGTCTTTGCCTATGCCTGCTGGAAGACAAAACTCTTGAAGACAGGAATAGGCAAAGACTTTCTGAACAAAACCCCGGTTGCACAAGAAATAATACTAAGAATCAATAAATGGGATCACATCAAATTACAAACCTTCTTCACATCAAAGGAAACCAACAATAAAGTGAAGAGACAACCTACAGAATGGGAGAAAAATTTTACCAGCTACTCCTCAGACAAAGGACTAATATCTAGAATATACAGAGAACTCAAAAGAATTACACCTATAATTAAAGACCTAGTCAAGAAATGGGGATCTGAAGTGAATATAGACTCTTCACAGATGAAGAAATACAAATAGAAATAAATACAAATACAAATAAATCCATGAAAAAATGTTCAATATTGCTGGTCATTCAAGAGATGCAAATTAAAACAACACTGAGATTCCATCTCACTCCAGAAAGAATGGCTATTATCAAGAAATCAACCAGTAACAAATGCCGGTGAGGCCATGGGGAAAAAGGAACCCTTTTCCATTGGTGGGAATGTAAGTTGGTATAACCACTATGGAAATCAGTAAGGAGATATCTGTAGGATGTGCAAGACTCTCTTTTTCTGAGGTTATTTTATTTTATTTTATCATATTTTTGGTACTGGGGATCAAATTTGGGTCCTTGTGCTTGCGAGGCAGGCAGCAGAACCACTGAGCTACATCCCCAGCCCCTTTCTGAGGTTGTTTTAGATGACTTGCTGTTATCTACAGAGGAATAGCCAACAATTAGTGATGAAGTATTAACTATCTGTTTAGAATCCTGAGCAACTGCTGTTTGCCTCAGCTTAACAGGATAAAATAGTTCATTTTTTCCCAATCTCGTCATGCTCTACAGCAGTACCTTGCAGTTTGGTAACCCTAAGATCTTTTTATCTTTGCTGGGCAATCTGCAAACAAATTTGTAGTTATATAAATGTCTATCCTGTCACTTCAACATCTACAATAGCTTCACAAAACTCTGTTGTCCCGAGTTTTCAGGAGCTTGGGGCTAGAAGCCTGGGACAGTGAGCATCTTTTGTTTGACTGTGGCTGCTGAGGCCAGGGTCAGTTGGCTTCCTCTGCAGGCCCCTTGCTGGCAAGGATCCTAGGCAGTAAGGATGCAGCGGCTTAAGAGGGAATTCTCATTTTCACATGATGAACCTGAGACCAGGACCTTTAAGGTGCTAATATTCAGTTTCTAGTATAATGTTTTTCATTTGCAGTACAAGTCACTTTTGCATATAGTTTTGAATTCAAAGTTGTGTTTTCTTTTACTTTAACTAGAATACCTAAAATTTTAGAACTTTCAGGTCTCAAAACTTGGATCCTTCCTTCTTCACAATACTTATGCTTAATAGTTCATGATTTTCCGTCACTAGCCTCAATCTTCCTTCAAGTTTACCAGGTCAGTGGTTCCCAAACTATAGCCGGCATCCACCCAGGAAAGATATCAAAATAAAAGGCCAGGTTCTGGCTTACCTGAATGATCTAGGGTGGCTGTGCTCTTTAGTAGCTCTCTAGCCAGTTAAAATGTCTCAGAGTTTCAAAACCATAAATGGAGGTCAAGGTTTTCAAAGGATTCACAGACCACAGATGATTATAAGAATTTTCTGGTTTCAGTGTGTTCCTCTGGCATAAGCCCTTTGTTCAGTTCTTATGATCAAATGATGCTCACATCCATCATTCTTACGTGGCAATAGAAAAGAACTGGTAAAAACCTACTATCTAAAGTATGAAGAGTTACTAGTTGATATTTGTAAATAAAGCTTGACACATTTGCCTGGATATATTTGGGACGCTTCTACTAAGAAGTCTGGCTGCTCTGTACCACTTGGCAGTATCTTAATGATCTAGTTCAAACACCCAGAGACAGACTCTATATAATCCTGGAATAAACAAAAGCACTTTGTTTTCAGTGTATCATCTGTGCTGTCTTGAGATGGCCACTCCCCTGTGCACTCAGTGTACCCATATCCTCCTATACCACCCCCTTGCATACATGAGGGACTAGAAAGCTAAAAATTCCCCCAGGCTCCCTTGGTTCTGCAAGTAAGATAGGTTCTACCAGAGAGAGGCACTGTGTGAAATCTGGAGGCAGAGGCAAATCCTCCTTCACCATAGGTGGGAGTTTTTGCAACAGCCAGATCCTGGTCTCGTATCTTTAGATTTTGAAGAACTATGAAAAGGTGTAATCTTTTACAAATTTCTGATTATAGAATCCTAGCTACGGTGTTGTGACTTGGAAAGCTGGGAACAGCCTCCTTAACATCTTCTAGCCATTGCGTGGAATAAACACCTAACTCCCTTTATTAAAAACTTACCTATTTGAAATACCTATTGTGATTTCTGTTTCCTCCACTGAACTGTATAATACTCCCTATATTTTAAAATATTTCCTGTTTGTGTTGATGTACTTACAGAATAATCACTACTTATTCCCTTCTGGGATAATTATTTTTCTGTTATTAATGTTTTCAACTCCAACATTTTGTTATCACCAAGTATTTATTCTCCAGAAAAGTAACTAAATCATTAGAAGTCTTTGAGACTTTTGAATCTTTAATGGAAAATAATCAACAAAGTCTGAGAACCACTACCTTGTTAATTCCCTATTTCAGCTGAACTGTCCCGTTTGTTGCACTGGGATCCAAGTATTTAACTACAGTCCATATTATCTCTTGCACTGACTGCTGTCTCTACTGCCACCTATTATCAGATACTACTGAGCCCCTAAGAAAACCTCAAGGCCTAACTTTTTTAATATAACTCATGAAAGTATATTCCTATCTCTTTATTTACCACCTTTGAGGGCAGACACCATGCCCTGTAATTCATGACAGCATAACATGTAACATATTTCTTAATAAAAGTCTGCTGAGGACCTTAATCAGAGTTTGAAAACTCATATTTTCTCCTTTAATTTCTTTGGATAATAGTGGGGACTTCACCTAGAGTTCCATGTTCAAAATCTAACCACAAAATTGGTCATAAAGTCATAAAGTCAGAGTTTGTAGAAAATATAAAACAAAGGAATAAAAATGATCAAGCTTTTGTAACTAGTAATGAAGAGTGAGTAAAACCAAACTGTCTTTGAATGTAATGAAAATATTTCTGAGAAGCAATGATTAATTGCTGTGGAAAAAATAAAAAAAGGGCCTTTGACTACAGGATGAAAATTCTCTTTACATGTTAAGTCATTATTGCAAGAAGGGTCCACACTGAGCCTATTGGTCAGTGACCGTATTACTCCATTTATTCAATATTTTGTATATTACCTTTGAGAATAACCAATAACTAAATCCCCACATAATTAAAATGTGTTTCTCTGATTTCTATTCTTTCCTAGTTTGCCTGTTTTCATATCCATCATTAAAATAATTTAAATTCATTACTGCCTTCAAGATTCTGATCTCAAATCTGGTACTAAGACAGTCCCCCAAAGTTCTCTTGAATAAAGAATTCTGACTTCACTCAACCTTTAGGTCAGAAAACTAAGGGGCATTCTTATATACTCTTTATTCACTCCCCAAATATGTTGATTTTTCTTTTTACTTAAAGACTTTTTTGGCCTTGGATGATGAATCAATGCTCCCTCTCCATTGCTAGTCACCCTCTCTTGTCCTCCATCTTAAAAATGCTCCAGAGTCCCCTCTTTAAAATGTTCCCATTCAAGCTGTTCTTATTTGCTTCTCTTTCCTCTGATCTTCTTGATAGTCTACAAACACTTAAACCTCCATTTCTCCTCCTAAACATCCTAAAGACATGATCAACTATTTTCTACCCTCAGCACTTCCCCGAGAGCATAAAATGTCAGAAAGAGCCTATTAATACCAGAGGCTAACAGGTATGCTCGGTCCTCATTGACTCGGTTTCTCCACAGCATCTTCTTTACTGGTCTTCACCTCCTTGAAACATGCCCCATCCTTGGTTTTCATCTCCCTGTGTCTCCTAGAACCCTTATCTGTCTTTCCGGCTACTTCATTTTCTGTTGCCTCCTTGGTGTAATTTAACCCTAGCAAGAGTCATGCATAGTAAGAAGGCAGCTCACCAAGGTGGGTGAGGAACAGTGTTGAAGGAGATGACAGAGAAGTGGGCTGTGCAGATGACACAGCCTGAGCTGTGTCAGACTTTAAGTGATTTAAAGTACGAAAAACCCTAGCTTGTCATGAAGAACGAGTCCTCTCCAGGCCTTGAGATGATGAAAAGCCTGAACTGAGCTGAAGGCAGACTGCTGACTGCTCACCACAGTCCCGGCCAATGGGTCGTAGAACCGCTCCAGGAGCTGGACCGCTGTGCTCTTCCCACAGCCACTGCTGCCCACCAAGGCCAGTGTCTGGCCCTTCTTCACCTGCAGGCTCAGCCCCTGAAGCACCGGGATGTCTGGCCGGGTGGGATACTTGAACACAACATCACTGAAGGTCACATTTCCTTCCAGCATATTCTAAAATGAGGACAGCAACAGTAAGTTTGCTGCAATGCTCAATCACGGGGTGGGCCTAAGCCATGGCAAACCTTTTAGAGACAAGTGCCCTAACTGAAACCAAAAGCCACTTATTTATTGCAAAGTGCCAATACTTCAGTTAAACCTGATTATCCAATGCTCAGCTGCTGGGGCTACTTGGCTTGCATGCCGACAGGGAAGGCTCTGTGTGCCCACTGTGGCACGTGTGCCATAGGTTCGCCACCACTGACCTGAGCCCTTCCACCACCAGGTTTCAAAAGGTAGTGCAATCCTGTTAGAGGTAAGATTAACTCATACTGCTAGAACTAAAAAGTAAGACCTCAGAGTCAATGTTTTTATTGAATGAGCTGTTAATCCAATCAAAAGTCCAATACAGATGTGATAAACTTGTCTCCCCAGAATGGAGTAACTTACATACCAGAAAACTCATTGCTAGGATCTGCTTATAAAGCTAGCAGTATTCCTCCCTCCCCATAACTTTGATATGTAGAAGTACTGGATATGAGCACATATTATTAGCACTTACTGAAATAAACACACGACCTTCAAATCTGTATATTACTATCATCACATAAGAAGCATACATTTTGTCAAATTCCCCCTTTGAATACGTTCATTCAGCAATTAGGAGCAGATCGTGCAGTGGAAACCTCAAACTCACCGGCTTCAGGCCTTCTGTGCTGTAGCTGTCGATGGCGGGGACTTTTTCAATGATCCTGATGATGTGGGCAGCTGACACTTTGGCTTTGGCATAGTCAGGGGCAAGTGAACTGACCTGCCCGACTGCCATGGCACCAAAGACAATGGCTGAAAACACCCTAGGGAACAGAAGACAAGACACGCACAGTTATGGCTGCATTGCTCGAAAGCTGGCACTTCTATAAGCAGGGAGCATTGTGGAAAATAATTGTAAAACAAGTTAAAAAGTAAAACAAGCACATTTCCTTGTATATTCAAATTACTGTGACAGACTGATTACAAATGGTCCTTTTTTTCATTTGCCTTGGTGTCCCTCCCTTCTTGCAAAGTGATCTTTGTAGAACTTCTGTTTAAGAAATAGAACTTGTTATCCAACCTTTGAATACAGATTGGCTTGGGACTTGCTTTTGCCCACAGGATACGATGGAAGTTACTGTTGCCTGTAACAAGCCTATGACTCGGGAGGTCTCTCTCTCTCTCTCTCTGTCTCTCTCTCTCTCTCTCTCTTCCCAATGCCTATGATGCCTGACTGATCTTTCAGTTACAATAATAATAGTGGCTGCATGTCACTTGTCAGACATACATATTAAAAAGTGGAACATTTAAAACTTGTTAGAATGATCCTGAACTAGTATAATGCATGAATAAGTCAGTGCCTCAGTAGGATAGAATTTTTACTAACACATTCATATTCTGAGGCTTATAAGATTCTGGTTTCAATGTAAAATAGTATTGCCACTTGGTCATGTGTGCTATGAAAGGGCAGAATTTTCTGCCTCCAAATGTAGGTCTTTCTGATCATGTACTCTTTTCACTGCCAAACTGCTTATTTGGTTCTTCACCAATATAATTAAGTTCAAGCTTGACTTCTCTAGACCATGATATAATTTTCTATTAGCAGTGTAGCAGGAAAAAAAGTGTAACCTTTCCTTTGTCATTTTTTAATTTCTCCAGCACTTACCTTGTAACCTTCTCCTTATCTTGTATCAAGGAAAAGAAAAATTATCCTGGGATCTTCCAGGGTATGTGGAACATCGTGGTTCAGCCCATTCCCAACATAGTTACAAAGTTAGAAAGCCCTTTGTATGGAGCCATTCTTCTCCCTGCTCAAGGTTAGGATTCTTCCCAAATGCCAAACCATTCTTTAGATCTCTAAGGTGAGTGACCAACCCAGCCACAGATCTGAAAAGGTTAGACATGTATGAGTATCTACTGGGAAGAGAAGAATTTACTGATGGACAGGTACTTCGATGGGAACGCATGGAAACCCAGAGGCAAAATGCCACAATCTCAATAACCCAAATCTTTTCACAAGGCTTCACTGTAGGGTTTTCTAACCATACCAGAAGCATGTTCATCCCAAGTATATTTTCAGAGTTAAGTTGTCAATATTAACCCAATACTTACAACATAACATTTTCATAATTCATGATTTCACGTGTCACCAAAAAGGTACTTAATCGGAAACAAGCAGCATGAGAAAAATATATTACTGCCTGGGTGAAGGAAAATGTGATTCCAAAGATGTGTGCTTTCCTCAAAGAGTTTCTGAAAAGACATTTGAAAAATTACTTCATTCTCATTTCTCAGGCCTGAAAATGTAACTTCTCAGAGGGGACACAGAAATGAAAAAGGCAAAAATGGATTTAGTTTTCAAAAAATTAAGTTTCATCCTCATTTTATTCACCAGCTGTTTAAATTTAGTTATGTGCCTCAACTCTGAGCCTTGGTATCTTTATTTCTAATGAAGTAATCAAGTAACTACGCCTCAATGTGATGATATAAAAAACTCAGCCTACCAAATTCTGTACAGAGCCTGTAAGAAATTAATAAACGAAAGTTCCCTCCCTCTTTCCCAAATACTGAACATAGAACACGTTTCCTATATAGTCAACATTCATTCTACACACATCTACCCAGCATGTACAAACTTCAGGGTCCATGCTGTGTGATACTGAGGAGTAGGCATGTCCCTTGACCTTGGGAACCTAAGGGTTAAGCTTGCTAATCACTTATGCCATGGTAGTACCTTGTGAATAACATGTTATAGAAATAAAGAGAAAAGACTTCACTTTGGTGGAGTTAGAAGAGGCATTATACAAAGAAATTACAACTAATTTTTCTCAGGGCCATGGAATTCAGTGGTGTGGCGGTATGGGCAGGAGTGAGTGGGCAGCTCTTTGGGCTTCCTAGTCCTGCTTCAGCTGTATTGGCTTGGCTTTTATTTTTGTCATATAGCAGAATTTCAAATAAAAGCCTTTTCAGGAAAAATATGAGAAAATGAAAGAAAATGTCTGAAAATCCATCAATAAGTTCCAGCTCTCTTCTTACTAGAGAAGAAACAGAGTGGCTGGGCTTGCTCATGTTCACACCATGTATTAAGAGCTCTCACTGGGATGGCTGTGGTAAAGGAAGAAGTTTTCTATTGGAGGAGAAGTGAAAAAAGTTATGAAAAGTATATTCTGGAAACACTACTCCTCAGTGTTGCCAGACAAACTGCATGTTCCATAAAGAGATGGATTCCCCAAATGGGGCAAATAATATCTTTATCCAAACTGGACAACGGAGAGTTGGTCTCACTACCTGCCCCATCCACTTCTCTCATGCGTTACGAGCCATTCCAGGTTCTGGCTCAGAAATGTGTCTCCTCCAGCTGGGTCTGATCACTTCTCTTCTGGTTAATTACAAGCACTGTCCAATTGGTTCATTTCTAGTTCTTTCTCCATTTGTGCCCTATGTTCCTGACAGAAAAATCCTTCAAAAAACGAATCTGATGACTGTCAAACTCCTCATACTTCCTTCTCCCTCTTCAGCACTCATTACCTGTATGGTATCTGCAGGCTCTGCCCATACATATGTTCAAACTTCTGCTCCTGGGTCAAGGACACAACAGTTCGGAAGTTTTCTATTGCTTCAATAGCGATCTGTAACAGACATCACACATTGCAAAGAGACACAAGGGAAAACAGGGGCAATTAGCTTGAATTCAATCAGCTTGAATTCAATCAGCTAATAAAATTAGTTTTATAATTACATACTATCAGTAATCATTTAGTATTATCTATGAGCATCTTCTCTATGGAAAAGACTAAGAAATTTATTAAATTAAGTTTCAGATGTGGGAGGAAGGTCAACTAATTGAAATTTTTCTGCTTGATAGTAAAAGAAGCTAAGCCTCAGAGGGATGAGGGCATGCCCCTAAAGCCTCATAGCTTTATAACACTAACCTGGGAAGTCGGTGGTTTACATTTTCAGTGCTCCTTCTTCTATAATGATCATACTGTTAAGTTTGGTTATTTTCCATGATTTAAACAATGTGATATTTATAAGTTTGTCTTTACAATTGCCATTCAAGACAACTCAGTATTTGGAAAATTTTGAAAAGATTTAGAAAGTAATTAAAAGCTACATTTTGGAATATTTTATATATTAGGCTATGAGATTACAAATGCTTTCTTCTTCCTGAATATAAACACATGCACATATTTGTTGTGTGTATGCATTAACTGGGACCTCACACATGCATAGGTAACCTCTCTGCCACTGAACTATAGCCCCAGACATTTTGTTGTTTTGTTTTATTTGAGAGAGAGAGAGAGAGGAGCTCAGTAACTAGTCCAGGCTACCCTTGAATTTGGCAATCATCCTGCCTCAGACACCCAATTAAGTGGGATTATAGGCATATGCCACCACAACTGGTTTACTACATCTTCCACTGAGTGTGGACAGAATTCTACATTTGGTTTTTTATCATTTTTTTATTTTAACAAGTATCAAGAGTATTTCCAAAACTCATTAAGTATACATTAATAATGGGATTCTAGTGGTCACATAATATCCCAGCCAATTAGGTATTCCTTAATTGTTGAATTTTCAATTATTTTCTCATTTTAAAATAATTTTATAGTAAATATCCTTGCACCTTAACATTTATCCACATTGAGTGATTTTCTTCAGAAAGTTCTTAAGATTGAGATTACGAGGGAATAAACTTCTTTTTTAAGGAACATATCACATTATCAATTTTATCCAGAAACTTTCTGTCATTCAATTATGTTCTAATTACATGTTACTTTCTACAAGATTATTTGATTGCTTTGCAACCATTTGGAGTCTGAGTCAAAGGATGTGGAGAATGCAAGGAATACCAGTATCCTCAATGAGATTCACCATACATCAGCCACAGGGCCTTGGACAACCACTCCGTCTCATTTTCCTCACCGTGAAATGAACAGGATGAACTAAAGGGTCTCTACAGTCCCTTGAATTCTACAGGTCACCAAAAGAAATTATAATGTTTAAGATGCTCTCTTCCTATGTTCTTACTTGTGCCCTTTATGTTGCTCACAACTGATTCTAGTAAACACACATCCCATTAATTTAGAGTAATTTACACATTAAAAATCATAAACACAATGTCTTTATTTGTCACAGAATCCTACACAAACTAGCTACAAAGATAATAGCAAATATTTCATAAAATAATGTCAATTTTTAAGATTAATGCAAAAGGCCATTTGAATAAAAAATAACCTCTTTAAAATTTTTTAAAACTTCTTTGCAAACTAAAATTAAAACATTATTCTCTGATCAAAACAAAGAAAATTGGAGTGTGTTTTTACCATAAGCTAATTAAAATAGCAGGAAAATATCCAGACTTAATTATGTCAAAAAATTCAATAAATCTCTTTCATACATTTAATAAACAATGTATACTCATTTTAGAAAATCCCAAAAATACAGAAAGCAAGAAGTTAGAAGAAATTTGCATTCAAACAAAACTCCTCAAAGACAATCCCTGATCAGACTTGTTAGAACTATTTTTAATTACAGGGGTTCAAATGAACAATTAGAAGAAGTTTTCTGGATTAGTACTGATAACCAACAAACCACAGCAGTGTCTACTGAAAAACAGATTTTACTCTAAATTTCAATAAAATAGTTTTAAGAAATATTTGCTGTGCATCATTTTCTAAGGCAAGAATGGCATTTTGTGGTGAGTTTGTTAATGCTGTCACTGAAGTCCCAGACCTTGCATGGTGAGTAAAACAATATAATCACTTCACAATATAGTCACTTCATCTTGACGTCCAATGAATCAATTAGTAAAAGCTTTAATTAGCACCACACATTCACACAGCTTCATTTATTCCAAGAGTTTTAAACAGAGACTCAGTAATCACCAGAAGGAAAGACAACTTTCAGTACGAGGAGGAAATAGCATCGTTTCCCTCAGAAAGCATCATGTATTGAATACTTTTGTAGAAAGGAGGATGCATATGTTTTCAAAAAGAAAGACAAGCAAATCTCCTTAATAGTTCTCTTTCTGCCCACTTAATTAAAGTATGGTTATGACTTTTAATGTGAAAAGGAAAACCATTGATTTTATACACATGTTCATTAGTCCATAGCAATATGATTGAACACTACCAAGCACAGATGACAGACAGGGTAGATGCTGTGAAGTTTTGATACCATAATCAGGCCATGAGCAAGTCCTGACCTCACAGAGAGGATAGGAGCTGACTCTGAGGTCCCAGTCAGGACATAAGCAGACACTGACCTCACACAGACCTGCTCTAGAATCCCAAGCTTGCCCTATCCCTTTAAGGGAAAATCTACAGAGGTGGTCTTGCAATGGAGCCTGTTTTAGAAGGGATGATACACAATTGATCAATAAAGAAACAGCGAAGAAACATCTAGGGCTGAGAAGTATCATTTGCTAATTCAGGTGTCAGGAAAGGCTTCTCTGAAAAGATAATAATTCTGAGATCTGAATAATGTATAGGGGCCAGCCACAACATCAGAGAGCCCACCTGGACTGTCCCAGGAATTGAAAAAGAAGAATTATAGTCCATAGCAGTGCTGGACAAGAGAAGGTCATAAACATCATTGGGGGCCAGATTATGCAGGGTTTTATAAGTCAGGATTTTATTCCACCTGTGATCAGATGCCTTTGGTTTTAAGTAGTGCTTAGCATGATGTCATTTATTTTTACAAGAGATTAAAATTCTTGTCTTTTTGTGGGAAGAATATAGAATATAGGTGGGCAAGAAAGGAAAGAATAGACAAGAGACTTCCTGTGTGACTCTGGACAAGATGTTGAGTCTCTCTAAACAACGGGCTCTCTGGTCTGCCAAAAAGGGACGACTCAACAGAATTCTTTTTTGTTGTTGTTTTCACGTTTTGTATTAGTATGTGTTTGCAGTGCATGAATTTTACAATCAGTTTGGGAGTGGGTACATGTACATACTACAGCTTGTTTCTTTTTTTCATCCTCTTTCCCTTCCTGCTCCCTCACTCCTCCTCTAGCTCCCCTTTCCCCTTTTTCATTCTTGTTGATATTATTAAATTCAGTTCATGTTATGGCATATAATGTTCACATCCATTGAGGTTATTAGGATCCTGTACATGGCATATCATAATTGTACTTATTTCCCCATCTCCTCCAGCCAACTCTCGCCCTTGTTCCCTTGAATCAATTCCCATTTGAAAGACCTCCACCCTTTTGTCTCCTGATAGCCCTCCTTTATTATTCTCTTTGTTTGTACTTTGCCTTACTCATATGAGAGATACCATACAGTATTTAAGCTTGTGTGTCTGATTTATTTCATTCAACATTAGTATCTTCCAGGTGCATCCATCTTCCTACAAATGTCTGAAATTTTTCCTTCTTTGTAGCCAAGTATATATATTGATACCACAATTTCTTTATTCAATCATCTGTTGATGGTATACAGGCTGCTTCCAGGATTTAGCTAAATTATGTTGCTATAAATGTTGCTATGCATGTATCGCTATAGTATGATGACCTACTCTCTCTGGGGAATATACTACATGTAGAAATGGGTAGCTGGGTCATATGCAATATCTAATTTTAATTCTCTAAGAAATCTTCATCCTGATTTCCATAATGGTTATACTACTTTACATTTGTACCAACAATACAGGAGGGTACCTTTTTCACCACAGCCTCACCTGCATTTGATATTGCTTGATTTCTTGATGACTGCCATTCTTTCTGGAGTAAGATGGAATCTTAGCATTGTTTCAATTTGTATTTCTCTAATGGCCAGAGATGTTGAGTATTTTTTCATATATTTACTGACCATTTGTATCTCTTCCTCTACGAAGTATCTGTTTATTTCTCTTGCCTGTTTCTTGATTAAGTCTTTAACTTTAGGTGGTTTCAGTTTTTTGAGTTCTTTCTATATTCTAGATATTAGTCCTCTGAGGAGTAGCTGGCAATTTTTTCCATTCTGTAGGTTGTCCCTTCACTCTAAAGGATTCCTTTGCTGTGCAGAAGCTTTGTAATTCGATATAATCCCATTTATCGATTCTTGCTGTTAGTTCTTATGCAGTTGTGGGTTGGTTTGGGAAATCCTTTCTCATCCCTATGACTTCAAGTGTTTTACCTTTTCTTCTCTCAGTAGGTTCAGTATTTCTGTTTTAATGTTAGATCTTTCATCTATTTTGATTTTAATTTAGTATACGGTGAGAGATACAGGTCCAGTTTCACTCTTCTGCAAACAGATATCCAGTTTTCCCAGCACCGTATGTTGAATAGGCTTTTATCTTTCCTCCAGTTCTTTCAATTGCTTGTCCTTTGTTGTATGCTTTTGGGCCCTTTGTCAGAGATCAAACAGCTGAATGTGTCTGGGGGTGTTTCTGTATCCTGTATTCTATCCCGTAGATCCATATGTCTATTTTAGTTATCATGTTTTTATTACTGTTGCTTTGAAATATATCTTGAAGTCATGTAATGTGAGGCTTCCTGCCTTGCTCTTGTTTCTGCCCAATACTGCCTTTGGTGTTCTGGGCCTCTTCTGGTTCTGCATGAGTTTTAGGATTTTCTTTGTCTAGATCTGTAAAGTATGCTGTTGATATTTTGAATAGGACTGCATCTGTATAATAGTTTTGGCAG